CATATTAGCGCCTGTCAAGTTTATCTTTGATTAGCATAGAACCGGAACTCCTGACGTACAAGGTAAAGGAGGCTGTCGTCCAGATATTTATTGACAGCAAAGTAGCGATTCGAGCGATAGTAATAAATGACTGGTTTTTTGTTGATAAAGAGTTTGACCTTATACATGTAAGTTTGTTAATTACTTTGATGATTTAATTAACAATGCAAACATTTCAATCTTACATGAACTTTAATTTCTTCATTCTCATGCATAACAACATCCAGCATTTGTTTTTTTTTGCCATAAATTATTTTTGAAATTAGGCATAAGTGGTGTCATTATCAGACACTCGCCCTGTGCAGCAGAAATGTTTGACACGTCTGAGTAGTGAGTGAGTAGTGCTCAGTAGGTACTGAGTAGCTTAGTTCTGGGGGTCGAAGATAAGGAAGTTGAGGGAGGTATGAGAGGGGACCGGGGCAATTAATGTTGGGTAAGGCAAGGTAGGATATAAGGGTTGAGATTAGTAGTAGAGAGGGTAGAGGATAGAAAGGTTGATCGATATAGGCAGTGGGTCTCGGGTGGGAAGGTTGAGGGAGATAGGGGAGTGGCTAGAGAAGGTGAGCGTTGGGGGAAATAGGAAAATAGAGGGAGATAGGGCAGTTGGTCTAGGGTGGGAAGATTGAGGGAGATGGGGCAGTTGGTCTAGGGTGGGGAAGATAGGGCAGTAGGTATAGATTAGGGAGGTAGAGGAAGCAATGCGTCAAGGATATGAAGATTAAGGGAGATAGGTCAGTGGGTCGAGAATAGGAAAGTAGGGAAGCGGGTCGAGTGATATAGGACGGTGGGTCGAGAATAGGAAGGTTGAGGGAGATAAGACAGTGGGTCGAGAATAGGGGAATTGAGGGAGGGAGGTCAGTGGGTCGAGTGAGATAGAACAGTGGGTCGAGTGAGATAGGACAGTGAGTCGGGAATAAGAAGATTTAAGGAGGTGGGTCGAGAGTATTTGAGTTGGAATGAATTTATAACGCCAGTAGCAAAGTCTAAATAAACCTTTCAGTGAAAGTTGGATCATTTCACCGTGTCCGTCGATATTTGTCATGTGAGTCTTTAAATATTCTAGCTAGACCGAATTCAATACAAAGAAATCGAATATATTTGGCTTCCAATTGGCGTCATAGCTGCAAACTCTCTCCTATTGACGAAACATTGCGATAATCTTAAGTGCTGAAAGAGCAACTCAAAAATACGACTTCAAGCTAGTGTCACGTATTTCATGTCCGCAGATTGCCGTAGTATTTTAGTCGACTCAAAGGCAAGTAACGATGAACACAATTAAATTGATATGACAAGGTAATGGCAAGCTGTCATTGACATGACAAGCCCTGGTTATAGATAATGTTATATTTGAATCACTGCCATATTTCGACGCTACCCTTGTCAAATTTTAATAATGCCGTGAATGCTTCTTTACAGATACAAAATTAATCAAGTCAGTTTTTGATAAATAAACGAATAGCTTTGAGGCTCCGTACGGAGCACTTTGAGAACCTATGAACCTTTTTTATAAGTAAAGTTTCGATGTGAACATAGTTACGTTTTAATGATTCTTGCAACGGCTTATTCGAGAGGGATTGGTAGCATAAAAGTCAATTAATTATAGATCGTTGTCTCAATCTTTACCAAATTTGTCTCCAGTCGAACTCGTGATTGGAAGAACGTTGCTGCTTCCATTTGCTTTTTTGAAACCACGAATGAAGGGGAGATTGATGATTTGAGCAAAGGAGTATTGCGAGTGCAAATTAAAACAAGAATTAATATGATCGCAAATAAACAATAAGGTGACCATGTTTGCGTCCAGGAACCTATTCGATCTCACAATTTGAAATCTCGTCCTTCTGATCCTGCACGAGTGATAAGCAGAGTATTATACCAAACCCGAAAAAAAGTAAGAACGGAAGAGACGGCGATAAATGTGAACCTGAGAAGATGTTCCAGTAAGTAGAAGGAAAGGTTTCAGGAGAAATTATACGATCTTCTGTTTGTACAAGACCTCAACCAGTACCGACTTATTTGAATAACTGTGTTTTTGATTGAGAAAGGAAAAAGTTTGTGTTGGTGGATTACCGCTAAATGTTGATCAAGAGCTATGACGGTATTGTCAAGCATGTTGCGTAGCGGACATTCTTAAAGTACATTCTAATTGTGAAGCTGGTCTCGCTAACATGTCTCTCGCTGCATCTATTTTAGTAGACTTTTCAGTTAACTTGTATAATTTGCGTGCTTGCTTTATTCGTGCATTATAAATAAACACCAAACTAAGGCCTTACTCGGATTTCTTTCAGATAAAAAGTTATTTTAAAAGCACCGAATGAGTCCCCCTTTCCCCACTAACGTGAAACGTCTACGCCGCAGAAATTTTACTGTCGAAAAAGAAAAAGTCCAAATATTATACATGCAGCTTCTTTTTAAAGGAGATCATTTATAAATTTTTGTAATCGGGTACTTCCCATACTTGTTATGAAATTTGAAACAGGTGTGAATGTTCACATCGACACATGTCTGAATGTTCACATCAACACATCGATCAATCAACACAACTGGAGCAGGGGTACGGATGTGCGCCACCGTGATTAACATATTTGCGCAACTCAGCAACATCACTAAATAATATTGAGTTGTCGCTCACGCGCACATTCCTCAAATATTTAAGTTGTCAACAACATCTGGCATAAGTATTTCACACGGCTGAAAATATTTTAAAAACAATCTGTTGCAAATGCAAACCGTCATCGCGTTGTCTGCAACAACATCAAACTAATGATTTTAAGCCAGAGAATTGTTAAACTCTATTATGTTATTCTAATATAAAGTGAGATTTTGAATATAAAATATCAAATCCATCAGCGGACATATATAGGTATTGATATATTCTTGATGTTCAATTTGATAATGCAGATTGGTTAAAATAAGCGTTGTTCTCAATTAGTCCAGCATTTCCCAAAAAAGAGGAAATCCTTTCGAGGGAAGAATTTAATTGTTTTTGAGAAGGAAATTTGTTCGATGTATTAGCGTGTGGTATTACTGATATTCCTTACTTTTTTAATATTTTTGTAACACTTAGCCTACTTAGGTACGCATTATGGAATTTTCAAACTGTATAAGAGCAAGAGTGCGAGTTACGCGTATCACTAGCTAAAGAATGAACAACAGAATTTTTGAGAGTGAGGGGAGATGAAGAGTTTAAAATAGGGAGTGGAATGTATGATAAGAGCGGGAAAGCATTCAGTGAGTCTGTAACTAGTTAGTACATGTTAAGTTAAGCTTATATTTTTGGTTTGATCGTGAGGTGTCAGTAATTCTAAAAGCTGTATTAAAATCAGCAATATTGTAAATGATTGCTACATTGCTTTTCTGTGAAGCAGGCGGGCAGGCATGGTACTTTCAATCGTGCGATATAATTCGTAAATTAAGTGGCAAGTTATACTTGTATGCAAACAATATAAGAGCGCGTAATTTAGATCAACACAGCTCACATGGTATAGTAACCTGATTTTAAATCACTCAACAGTTGACAGTGTAAACGGTACTTATACATATTTACATATTAATATTAAGTGATAAACATAGACATTTAAGGGTTCAGAAAATATTTTATGGCCAGTGAAAACACTCGTGAAATACCGTAACCATAGCGTACCGTATTTCCCCAAAAATAAGACCTAGCCTGAATTTTTTAAAATGATTTCAATATAATTCATCATCTTAAAGTAAGATTCAGTCGATAGAGTGAAACTTTTTTTTGACATAGTCAATAGCAATAAATCTCTTGTTTACAATCTAAACGTATTATTTATAAGTAAAAGGATATCGGTTTCATATTTTGTATATTTGAAAATCTCGTGATTCCCTACTTTGTAATTTTGTATTTGATAAATGAAATTAAAATACATCCCTTGGAATAAAAGGAAAACAAAATAAGACCGTGTCTTATTTTCGGTGAAATACGGTAGGCCAGGGTGGTCCAGAGGTCTAAACCTTAGCACGCGGATTCCATTCGTGAGGCCCCCGGAACAATTTTAGCATGAAGATATTTGTATTTATTGGCAGAACATTTTTGAGTTTTTCAGCTCTTCCAAAATTCTTAGATTTAAACTTTTTGCTAGAACCGATGTCGAGAAAGATGTTTCTTAAAATCACTCAATATCAAGCTTGTATCTACAACCGTCACGGAGGTGCGCCATGTGCTCGGTTCAAGACGCCGTAGTAGTGTCAAGACGGACTTACGTGCCTTTCGTTTCCTAGAAATAATGGAGCGATAATAAAAAGAGTGGGGACTGGCAAGGACAATAAATTGTCTCGTGCATACAGAGCCCGGCCGATGATATCAGTCGCGCTTTTTATCTAAATTTTGCACCGTAAACTCTCTTCACGCCACTCCTTTTCTGAAGAGATGCTTTTACTTTATTAAATACACGCCTCTATTTGTAATCGTGGGCCATGTAACAACGCAGATCTGAAACAGCAACCAAAAGCAAGAAACAATAAATTGTTTTGTTATTGGGTTTGTGATTTATATATCTTTCTTAAAATAAAGAAACTGCACCTTGCAACATAACAATAGCATGCTCAGAACGTTAAACTCTCATTCTTTAACAAATATTTTAAGTAACTTTTCTCGCAAATAACAAATAACTGGCTTACTAATCCCATACCCGACATGGGCTGATAATCGGACAAAAGTCCGTGGTTCGCCAGATGATTGAGTCATGTTATCGGTTTTCCTCCCGAATAAATATGACAATTCTCTCCTAAAATCCTGACTATTTCTGTAATAAATTTGGAACATATGAAACCGGACAAGGAAATAGTCCGATATAAATTAAACCGTTTTATCGGCTTACCTGTCATAATAAACATCGAATCTAGTCAATGCCGATTCATGGATTCTTCACCTCATTTCGACCATACATATACTTTCATTCTATTCTTTTTTTCCAGTGATTATAAAATCTAAGTATCATGAGTCGTTCGTTATTTTTTGTCTGCCTTTGCCACTTGTTTACCACTATTGTGATGTCGCAAAGTCAGCATATGATATGCAAGAATGTGGACGACGTGTTTGATGAAAACGATTCGATTTCAAGTCGCGAATCAACCCACTCCCGTAGTTTTCAGGGCCCGCCTGGTAAAAGAGGATTAAAGGGAGAAATGGGTGGACTAGGGATGCCTGGGGTCAAAGGTCAACAAGGCGACTCAGGAAATGTCGATTATCAAAAAGTCAATGCCACCGTTGAACAGCTATTTGAGAAATTAGGTGGGTTTATTAAGTTTAGATTGTGGTCCTTGTTTTGCCTCTCTATAAATTACATGTAGTATATTATTTCAATGTTTAAAATCAAGTTTAGATATTTATTATATTTAATTATTTCCCGAAATTATTGTCGCGCGGATTTGAGCGCTTTGGCTTTTGTTATTCAAAAACCTAAAAAGAGATATCGTATTTCCCCTGGATTCTGGATTGCTGAAAAAAGACTCTTTTGTTTTAGATTACATTCAAACCATAATATCCGCTTGCAGCCGTGGAGAAATTTAGTTACGCAATTACTCACCAACAGTAGTTGCTTGTCCAAGGCTCCTTCAGGAAACTTCTCATTAATAGAACAAAAATTGATTTATACAGTGGAAAAGTCAGTGGCTTCAAGAATTGAAGAGTTAGAAGAACGAATGCTGGCCAAACATGACGAATTGAACAAGAAGATTTGGTTAGGTAATATCAATGAATCAGTTATTTCGGCTCCTTTGACATGAAACTGACTTTATGCAGTTTTATTGGACATTTGGTACACTCTCCAGTAAAGTGCACTCTTAAACAAAGAAGCGCAATAACAGTTTTTATTAAAATGAATTCAAAGTTGATTTGACCCAAACAAAAGAAATAAATTGAACATGCAATAAAGTATATGCACAATTCTATATAAAAGAAATGTCTTGGCTTTTCTAATGCAATAAGTGAACACAGATAATAAAAACGCAAATCAAACCAAAGTGCGATCATAACCTACGAATACGTAGCAACAAAACTTATACACAATATTGAAGAATGTACCGTATTTCAGGGCTATAAGGCTCATTTAAAATAGTTTTCATTTCAAAAATCGATCCTGCGCCTTATATATTGGCGCGCCTAATGTATAGATCAGGTAGTCAAAAACCAGTATAAGCACCCTTCTCGCGCTCCGTAAAATACGGTACTAGTGATTCGGTACTAATGAATAATTATGACTCGCATTGATCATAAGACTTTCATCTGACATTAAACCAGCATTGAAAATCCAAATTAGCTTTTAATCTCCAATAACCCAAACATTTTCAGTTATTGGTGAAGCAAGCTGGTGCCTCTTCCTTTTTTTTCTATACGATAGCAATCTATATTTTGTCTATGTTTATTTTACAGGACCCGGTGACGGTGTAGTGCATCTCGGGAAATGTTACATAGCTTCTTTACACACCGCAAGAGATGTCAACTACGACGAAGCTGTTGCAATGTGCACAAAATTGTCGGCAAAACCAGCAGACATAATCGGTTCTCAACATTATGATATGGTGATGTACAATGATGTCTTCATCATACGAAGAAGTCTGGTTGGCCATGACATTCGACCACTCGGTATGTAAATAAATCGTGACTATATTTGCTGTTAATGAATTTTATGAAAGATTATCATGGATTTTAAAATGAATCTCCCCCTTGTGTTTAATCTTGTCATTTTAATCTAACCTGAGGAATGACATCCGGTATGGATGTTCAAAATTAGGGGAATGTTTGAAATTTTAGGCGGATGTTTGTTTCGTATAGAGGAAGTTGTAGGGAAATCACTGATTCCAAACCATTTTATATGCTTACTTGACCTATTTATTCACTATATTCTATCTAGCTATGCAGCAAATAATAATAATCCCACTCCGTATGCTTATTCTCAACAGATCACCAAAGTTTTACATAAATATCGTCACGCCAATTCTCTTAAAATTGATTATTTATCCTGAACCTTAGCGTATCTTCAAATATCGGAAATAACCTCAATCAACGCATTACCACCAATTTTCCTGATAAGATTTCTGTATTTTTAACAGACGAATAGAGTTTTACTGTCAAACGGCACCACTGCTCCATACATTACTTACTTCTCAGGGTAACCCAACAAACCTGCAACTCACACTCTAATGGCATTCGGTGCACGAAATCCATCACGTGGTCAGCAAGGAATGTTCAATGCTCCACGGTCGTATACTACCAATGGTGCCTTGTGCCAGAGGGAATGATTTCCATCTAATTAAGACACGTTCATGGACATAATTCATACTTATATATATACACAGACTGATATTTTGGACATAAAACAGTTCAATGCATAATTGATGTCATGTTTACCGAATCGAATTTCAGACCAGTGACATGACAAGTTATGAACGAACATTAAGTTCTAATATCAAACAAATTTAGTGCTAAATCCTTCGATAAAATAAAATAAAAAAAACTTATGCAACTTATTCCTTCAATAATTTACAACCTGCGAAGTGCTTGGGTCTCTAGCCTGCAAAACCTTCATAATCAGATCCATTGTTGCAACCACTAGGCCAGTGGTTTCCAACCTTTCATGGTTCGTGTCCCCCTTCCGTTGGTTTTTAGCACTCATAGACCTTGTTTATCAGTCTAGTTGTTTTTATAGTTCTATTTGGAATGGAGTATTCAAAATTACATTATTTTCAAATAATTCATGCTTAACAAAGTGAAAACAGCATATGAAATATCCTTATCAAGCAATGAAACTAGAAATGACGGAGAGTTTAATGGTTGAGGGAAAACTAATATCAGTTTTCTGCCGATCATTTCTTCTTCCCCTCTAAACCGCTCTGTTGGTAACCGCTGCCATAGATCTTTATGCCTAAATCTCAAAATTTTAATATGAACTTCAATTATTAAATAATCTATAAAACTTTCTCATCCGATGGATTGATTTTTAATTTCTTCTGATTTTCATGCAGATTACCTGTATATGCTGCATCTAGTTTTCCTTAAGGTTCATATTTCGAATTTTAGAGTAGTTTTGCCGTGTGTTGTTAATTATATATCTTCATCACGGTGAATCATTTTCAACGACTCAATTTTCATGGGAATGAACAATTAGTTGTATTTTGTTGGTTTTAGAGAAGAAATCGGAATTGCCTGCTGAGACTCATTTGTGCTATTTTATAAACAATGTTTATGTACGACTTTCGCTGCGATAGAGGCTTTGAACAGCTATTACCAGAATGGTTACGATTCGAATTTGGGTGGAATGTGGGGCATGGAATTTGAACTTGAGATGTGTAACCTGCGATGCCAACAGAGGTTTGTTCAACACTTTGACCGCCAGACCATCTGGCCCACAAAACTGAGAAAAGGTTCTCGATTTAAAAGGTTCACATTTCCTACACCATCCAAGACTAGTATTTCGGGACATGTGCTTTTGACGTGGGATGCCCAACCGTCTTAACCCGTCGCACCGGTGATATCGAATAAAATGACCTCGCGAACAGGTAACAAAATATTGAAATGAATAAAACAAAAATATTAGCCTCTGTTCGAGTAATATACTCAAATCACAAAACAGTTCAATCAACAAACGGCACATCAGACTCAAATAGACACTTTTACATTAACGTGGAAGGTGAGCATTGGTCCAAGATTTGGGAATGAATGATTGCAAGCGACAGGATTTTCACAAGAATGATCCGCTTATGCGCAGAGCGTTGCAAAACTTCCATACGAGTTTTCTTTCTTTTCTGAGTCATCTGGCAGAATTCCGGTAGACTCAGAATCAAAGTTCAGTCGTTCTAAAAGTTGTACGCTTTTGACCTAGCCATGTTAACAATTCACTGAAGCATATTTATCTACGACGTTATCTGAATTGTATGCAAAACTTTCCCTGTTTATGTTTCCACGTGAAAATATAAAAATTGCAAGTCACCATTCACCCCTACGTGAAAATATTCAATTTGGCAATAATATTTGCCTTCGTTTGGTGTACAAAAGCGCTGTCTCCTCTCTTTTCGTCATTTGGCCATCTGACATACTTTATTGAAAATTTGTAAGTAAATGCGATCCACTGTTCGGAAATTTATCGAATAAGTGAGAAGAAGATTCGCATAGAGTGAAAAATAATGAACTCCTAAACAATGAACGATCTTAACTTTAATCATCGTAATGTGTCTGAGATGAAATGTTTTATATAGCACATGTGGTAGTCGTATTTACAATATATTTGCTGCTGGTCAGGTGTATTCGTAAATGAAGAAGGCATGGTACTTACATAAATATAAATAATGTCAGATTTCAATGCCAATCCTGTACCTTGACTTAGCTTTTTCTACATTGCATGCACTAATGATTGAAGCTTTGTAAATATGTGAAAGATAGTGAGTAAAACGAAAGACTGTAACTGTTTTGTTTGTAGATTGCTAGAAAAATTTCATATTTATATTAAATCAGTTTGCATTGTTACGTTTGACCTTGCATATTTGACATCAAAGCATGTGTGCCTCTTTATTGGAATTTAATCTTGACTGTCGACATCTGTATTGGGAATCATAATTTCAAACAAGAGAGCTATGCTCAAATATATGGACACGTAGCGCCACCTAATGGCAATAATTTTGATGACGTCATAGCAAAAAAAAGGAATAGCCTTCGGAAGAAAGTTTTTATCTTTAACCACAGAAAATTTCAAAGCAATTGGTCCAGTAATCAAAGAGAAAAGCGACTTTTTAAAAATGTGTCAAAGAACAAGAACAACAACAACAACAACATAATATTGAAACGATCGCTATGTCCACTACGTGTCCAATAAGCATGTGTTACATCAGTATTAATCAACGAATTGATGAAATTGACTGATATACAACAGACTGATACGTTTTAGAGTTGATCGAACAAAACTCCCAATTTTTAGCGTTGCATTAGTGTTTCCGCTGCAGAATGACCACGCTTTCCGTACAGCAGGCCTGCACAACTCAAATTACCACGAGGGCCGCAAACATAAATCTGAAGACCCGACGGGCCGCAAACTTTGCCACGTACATATTTCACAAGATGAACTACAAATCAAAATAATATTGTGATTTGTGAAACAGTTAAATTTAATGAAACACTTTCAATACTGGGGAGCTTAAAAATATGAAGAATCTTATTTTCTTGAGTAAAAACAAGGTACAGTATTTTTGCATACGAGATAGCAAATATGTATTTAGTGGTTCACGGTTCATCTACCTTGAGAACGCACCCTTAATTTTCAATATTTCTTTTTTATAAAAATTAGGTATTGCGTGTTGCAGTATTAACTGACTGCAGGAAAATATTTTACTCAGGTTCAGTATTGTAAAATCGTCCCAAATATATGTATGACAATTTATTTAGTCATATCTACCATTATTGGATATTTCCATTGTATGCTAGACAAACAATCCGTTTAGTAGCACTAGATCTTCCTCTGTTGTACTTTTTTGACTGGTAAATTACATTTTTCTACAAAATCTGCTCCAATTTATTTGGAATTTTACAGTAAATAGCAATATCTTTTGTGCGAGAATTTCTGCACCATTCATAAATAAAAGAATTGTTTTTTAATTTCGAAATTTGAATCAAAAAAGAAACTTAGTTCCATGAACTGCTAGTAATAAATAATGGTTTTTTTTTTAAATAGATTGCTAATATGCACTAATGACTAATGGGAGTGAGATTGTACCGATATTGTTTCAACCGTGATTCAGTCTGAACACTGAGATATCTAAATCAGGGTTTCCCAAACTGGGGGGCGAGGGTTCGAGCGACGAATTTTAAGGGTCGCGAAAGGCACACCAATTTTACACAAAGTTCGATATTTATTGAAACTAGTGCAAAACATAAATCTCACGATTTCGAATATGATCGGAGTAGCGGCTCGCTTGCATAACAATGCCGGCTTAGATTGTTAGATCCGAGAAGTGGCGTGTTTTCAAATCACCCGCGGGCCGCACAGAAGTATCTAGCGGGCCGCATGCGGCCCGCGGGCCGTATGTTGTGCAGGCCTGCCGTACAGTTTAATCCCATTCATAATTGATCATTACGACGGATATTCACATTTTGCCTAAGCGAATGTGCATCGATCGATTTAATTCCAGGTATTATCAAAATAATACGATATTTCTCATCCTCAAGTAGGACATGGTAAAATTTAAATTTTTTACCAGTCATTTTCTACTACCTACATATTCCATACATTTTTGATTCAAATGTTGATCCCATTAGTAATAGCGAAAAAACTTGTTTCTACTTTTCATTTGCCCTCCATTTTTGGTAAGTAGTAACGGTTCATAGAAAATTTATACGCAAAATACCGAATATCATTATTTTTTATTTTATTGAAAATTACATTTGAAATAAATTTTTCCCAAAATAATAAGATAATTTGGGCTCTTCATACTATTCTTCAGATGACTTTGAATCGAAAGAATTATTTCAATGAAAGAAAACACACAACGTCAAATATAAAGATCATCACAAATAAGCAGTTTTCTATATTCAAGAATTTTTCTGTGTAGTGTCGTATAACAATTATAAGTTTGTCTATCTGTACAGTAACTTGATGTGTCACAGTATATTGTATTATGATAGTATTCCATTGATGACAATTTTTTTTTGCATCTAACAGCTATATATTGCTTGTCAGAAAACATTTCAGTCGACCAAATAATCGAAATATTTTAAATTTTGATTTGGCATGGAATGTAATCATAAACATCGTATTAATGTTATCAATATCAAAATAAATATCAATGTAACTAAAGCACTACGAAGTGAAAGTTTAGGGATGAATGGAGAAAAAGGAACAAGTTCAGGAAAAATGAAATATTTAAAAAAAAATCTTTACAGCAAGCGTCGTCTGGGAGAGGGTTCGCAGCTCGTAGTCAGATCTTTTCATAATTCTGTATATTTTGTGGTAAGAGCAATAATTGAAAGATGTTTTGAGCTAAAAATGGCAAATATGAGCATATCTGATTGAAATGTTGTCCGAATATCATGAAAAAAGGTGGGCGCCCCAACACAGTATATTTCCATGTACCGTAAATAACGTATTCGCCATAAAGAATATGTATTGTATGCTTAGCAGTTGGTATCATGAGAACACATACTGGGTTAGGTAGTCCTTTCTCTGTTTCATGTGACGCATTCGCCAATGTTTAGTTTCGGAACTTAACTGCAGTTGAACACGATTTGTTCGAGTACTGAAACTTGTCTTGCCATAAGAAACAGTGTTTATTATTTTGATTCGTTCTTACGCATCCAAAATACCCAAAATATTAACAAAAGGTGTACCTGAACAGCAATAATTACTTAAATATTTATATAATAAAGATTAAACATAATAACGTTTCAAATATATAAAAAAAATTGTATCAATTAGGCTACTGCATGTACGTTTGAGCAAATATCTGAGGATTCTACGGGACTCGTTTTTGTGCGCGATGACGTCATTGAAGTTGCGCACTTTGAGACGGTCTCGCTTACGCGTTAGTCTTGAAATTGCCGTACCGGTAGTCTAATGTGACAAAGTGCATACCCGCACCAGTACCTGTTAGTTTTGGGCTTTGTGTCCATATATTTGAGCATCGCTCTCTTGATGAATGGTCAAGAGGCAGCCGAGACGCACGGTTCGTGTGACGTCATCTCACTCGGTGGCGCACCGAATTTCCGTGGTACCGCGGCATTTTTGACTAGAATTTTTTGATCGACTACCGAATTGTTCAAGTATCATTAAGTCGTTCGACTACCGAAGTACCACTGTTATTCTATTCATTTTGTCTTTTAAACAGAGAGGCTGTTAAGTAATAAATTTAATCATTTTATCTAAAATATACTGCCATCAACTCATATGCGCATTCAATATTCGCTGAGTTATTTTGCATTGCAATATCTTGAATAACAAAATTCTTAATCAAAGAGATGAGATTTGGTAATCTTCTGATGTAGGCGAGCAATCGGGCCCAATTTTGTATACCTATTTTTATTCATTTCATACGACCCCCAAAATTTACCCAATATGATCTATGCACTCAAATTAACGACTACAGAAATATGAAACAACAATAAATCTGGGTGGTAGTGACTTTAATGCAATTCAAAGCCGAATGAATGATATCGTCATTTAAAAGTGTACTACTACACTCACAAATTTTTTTAAAATCATGGATAGAATAGAATATTTTCCTTAGTAATATTAACGACAAATTCTAATCATTCTAAACCGTTTTCTTTCCTGAATTGCATCAATAAAGCGCCAGAAATCGCCTCAGTCCTCATGATTTGTGTTTGATGACTTTGCGTATATTACTCTTGCCCGTCGGTATAAATTATTAATTCTCCTGTTTACAATATATATTTAAACATAATCCGAATAAACATTTCAATGAACAAAGATGAACTAAGATTTTCCATGAAATAAAATTTCTTGATCGTGGAGGTTGTCTGCATTTTCTGCAAAAAAATTAGTAAAACAAATCAGATGCATATTAAAGTATTGTTGTTGTTAATGTATCATAGCCATTCAGAGGTTTATCACGGTATTCTGCGTCGCAATTTATCTGCAACTTGGTTGATACAGTTTTAAAAAGCAAAATTTACCTCGGAATGTCTGCGCAGATTCTGGGCTGTCACCTTCAGGGACGAAACCACCAACTGACAAAATTTGATAAACATTAGAAGAGTTCACTATTTCATAGCCTTTTTTTATTTTGTAATTTATCATTGTACTACTTGTAAAGTTTATTTTCATCTGTGTACGACGACTTCAGATCTTTATTTTATTCTGAATCTACAAAACTTGAAACAAAAATTGAAGTACAATTTCCTAAATCTTTACAACGGGATGTTATAATAGGTGATGAAGACAAAACTTACGAACTCCGGAGATGAACGATGCAGTTATTGAAACCATGAAGACGATCATAGAGATCCTGCTAAGAATTGATGGAGTGATGCTCATTTTGAAAATTGTTCTAGAAAATACGAAGAAATCGAAAACCTTAAATAGAGATATTAGAGTTTAAAGAAACAAATGTAAACGATTTCAACAAATTTGCGAAAAATATTTCTGCACGTGTTTGTAGCTGGATCATTCGTTCTTTGTAAGATCAGAATTCTTCATGCCTTATTCTTCGCAGTTTCGTGGGATAATCAATGTCTAATAAATCTATGAAAACTACTATTATGTCTGCATAGACGTCAAGATTGCCGAAATGCTACAGAGTATTTTAATCATGTTCTAAAACATATTAGTTTCGGGAACCACGGAAACGGTATACGGTAAATTTTCCTGTCTACATTTCAATCACTCGATCAAAATTATTTCGAGTGTCTTTCTGCCAAGTTCGGGCCATTTAGATTGGGTAACTCGCATTACTTTGAGTCTTTGAATCAAAAAAAGCAACTTTACCTTGCAATGGCTTTTTTGAACTGTTAGGTTGCAAACTGACACCTCTAGACCTCAAAACTTTTTGCAGGTTGCCGGGTTGAAAATGGGATGTTTCACTCCAACATTCCAGTTTTATATAGCAAATCTGTTTCCGGATGAAAACAATCCATTGAAAAAAATGGCTCATCTCTCTGGCATTTTACCGCTCGGGAGCAAAATCAGTTATTCGACTTATAATAATTGGGTATAAATTAGGATACCAACTTCCAAACTGGATTATCAAGTTTTCGATCACCGTTGTACTCTTCACAGAGTGTCATACATACATGGCATTAGGAAAAATTCCATGGATTAGATCACACGAAGGCATATATTCTTGCCGTTTATTCTGTTACAACAGGTCTAGACAATCTGCATTGAGATCAACATACAAAAAAAGTATTGCAGGCAATACTCATATATTTATATCAGAACATAAGAAGTGGCTTGTAACAGATTTGATTATAATGAAATAAATGAAATATTTCATCGGTCGAATAACTTATGATTACATTCCAGATTTCTAAAATTATGTAGAAATTGAAACATATGATATGAGTCGAAACTCAACTGCACATTTCATGCGGCGAACCACTTGACTTGATGAAGCAAATACGTGATTAGGTAATGCAAATTTATCTGTAGTGAGGATTAAACATAGAGGTGATTTTCCCAGCAACGAATATCGGCCTTGTCTCGTTCTATCGTCGTTAATCTTACAATGATTTCAAATTTGAACGCTTTTCAACATTTTTTTCATTTTGTTCACTGCATAAAAAACAATTCTTCGATATTAATCATGACCCTATTGTTTTATTTTGTCACGTTTATACATTTGTGTTGTCTTCCAAGATCACGTAAAAGACAAAAAATATCTTTCCGATTGTCTAGACTCAAGAACGATTGTCTCAAGAATGACTGGAGCGTGCTAATTGATACATTTGCAACAACGTAGAATTTTTGCATTTTCAACGCATAGAAATTTGCACCCATGTCGTCGCACCTGCTCGCAAATACTTGTCTATTAAAATAAAAAAAATAAAAAATTGTAAGTGTAATCCTGTTTACGGTTGCAAGGTTTTTACAGTCAGAATCCTGTTCCCATTTGTCGTTGTCGGTCGTTTTCTTTCAACGAAATACCGCAAATGTAATTCCATCATAAATCGTTCATCAAGTTTACGGTGGTGTTTGGTTAGTTGGCACTCTGGCAATTACACCGTGTACCACTGTTACATCTGGTTTTCACCTCGTTCAAAATTTTGCTTAAACTTAGTTAATGTATGGAAATTCAAATATATCGCGAATGGGTTTGCAATGCGTTCGTATTCATTAAAACTTATACCAGGGTGGTCCAAGGTTGCGAGGTTGAAGAGCCGCCAAAACTTTTGACCCAAAATTGATTAAAATATCGCGAATTTAGTAATTTTAAACATATTTAAGAATGAGAGTTTACAGTTCTAATCATTTTTTTGAGGAAGCTATATGAAGCCTTCAGTTATTTTTAAAATTGCTTCCCGAAAAATATCGTGGTATTTTCGGTATCTTTTTTCGCGTTTGGTTTTATATGTCGCTTAAATTTATATTCTTTCGTGACAGATATTACTTGGGAACACAACAGACACTGTGGTTTATCGTTGTTGTGGGTAAGGAAATACGTTTACTCACAGTTTACTTAGGTTTCCTTTTTTCTGCACTCATTGTATGATGAATTTATCACTTGTAGCTTGGGCAGGCCTAGGGCTACCGTCAAAAAACAACCAAGTCCGTCTAAGTTGGGACCTCGGACCCATTTAATAAACAAAAAATGAATCGCACGGCGCTAAGTCAGCTCTGCGGCTCGTCACTGCTGTCATATGGCCAGCGCTTGAAAATAGATGAGTGTTTCTGCACAAGACAATTCATTCTCTTTTTTACCGATCATGGGACGTCATGCCCATCTAGCCACCGTCTTGACGTTTATAGATACAACAATGAAACTCCGTGATTTTAACAAACATCAATCCCGACATTAGGATTAGGAAAAGGACCATTCCAAGTTGGAATAGTTTAGAAATAAATCAAAATTGTTTTGCTAATATATACAAATATATGCGAATGTGCCGCAGTTTGGACCACTCTGAATTTTTTCATTTTGTTCACTGCATAAAAAGCAATTCTTCGATATTGAACACCAACTTCTTGCTGCTATTTTGTCTGGAATGCTTCACGTTTTTACATTTGTGTTGTCTTCCGAGATCACGTAGTCGTAGAGGACAAAAAATATTTTTCATATTGTCTAGAGTCTAGACTAGAACGATTGTCTCAAGAATGGCTAGAGCGTGCTAATTGCTAAACTTGCAAGACATATTTTAGCACCCATATATAGCTTTTACGTACATTTGCACCCATAAACACATTTTCAACAACGTAGAATTTTAGCATTTTTAACGCATAGAAATTTGGAGCCATGTCGTCGCACACACTCGCAAATATTTGTTTTTAGACAAAGTTTCACTTCTTTCTCAATAATATGTCTATTAAAATCAAAAAAGATAATAAATTGTAAGTGTAATCCTGGTTACGGCTGCAATGTTTTGTACAGTCATTGCAAGTTATAATTCAATTCCACTCTGTCGTTGTCGGTCATTTTCTTTCAACGAAATACCGCAATTCCATCATAAATCGTTTATCAAGTTTAGGGTGGTGAATAGTAAGTTGGCCCTCTGGCAGGTGCGCGGTGTGCCATCGTTATTTCTATTTTTCGCCTCGTTCAAAGTTTTGCTCAAACTGAGTTAATAAGAATAGAAATCCAAATCAATATCGCATGGGTTTGCAATGCATTCGCACTGATTACAAGTTATACCATTAGAATGTCCATCAATTGACAGCCAATATCAATGTAACGTCGTTTACTTTAAGAATAATGTATATGGGTGTTAATGTTCACGGGCGCAAGTGTGCGCAGGTGCAAATATACAGTGTGAGGCGCTTGCCGATGGCTGTAAATGTTCGTGGGTGCAAATGTAATTGGATGAAATCGTTCATGGGGGCAAATGCAGCACTGAAAGATCAGGTAACGTCACTTCCAAAGTTATTTGTGGTACAATTTATGGGGCATTGAGTGCCAACTAGCAACATTAGCAAACAATAATATAGGTTATTGTCGGTTTAATTCGCGGTACATAGATCCCCCACAATAGTCGAATTTTGCTCTCATCATCACTCGATTGCTTGATGACTCAATGCTATTCTCAAGACCTATTCGATCACGAATTATACACATTGAGAAGTACAGAGACAAATTAAACATGGGGAAAGCGATTCTAACACAGCCAGTAGATTCTCAACATGAAACAGAATGATTGTATAAAATGTTGTATTGAAACACTTCATTTAGAAACCGACAACCTGGAGGAGGTGGGAAATCTAACAGTATCAGTTTTCAACTCATCAGATCAAAATAGACCTTTGCAAGCTATTGATTTCTGATTCGCATTTCCTATTAGATTAATTCTTAGTCTGCTCAGTGTTAAGAATATTTGTGACTGACTCGGATCATACTACTCATCAAAACAAATGACTTTAACTACACCAACCGGCAGAAAGACTGTACAATTAAAGATAATTTTGATCGATTTTAAAGAAGAGTAATATACACAACGTCAGAGAACACAGATCATGTTTATTAATAAAAAAGTGAAAAATTGTCTAAAGGAAAAAATATTTGCGAGTGGGTGGCACGACATTGGGTGCAAATTTCTTTGCGGTCAATTTTCTAAAATTCTACTTTGTTACAAATGTCTATGGTTGCAAATGTACGTGAACATTATTTCGGCGTACTGAAATCTGTGTTACAAATGTAAAATTTAGCACACTCTAGTCATTCTTGAGACAATCGTTCTTGAGTCTAGACAATAAGAAGGATGTTCTTCATCTTCTACGTGATCTTGGAAGACAACAAAAATGTAAAAACGTGGAGAATTTCAGACAAAATAAAGCATGAAATGTAATTTGAACTTACAAACTTATTTATACTGTTTTTAAAGGCGATTTTATTCCCTCAAATAAAAGTTGTAAAAGTAAAGATAGAGGAAAGAACAGGAGTGTGCAAGATTTTTGGGCCAGGGGCCTAGACTGGTGGGCCGTGTAAGTGTAACGTAAAAAGTTACATTTTATGAACAATATTTACAGCGTTAGAAAAGCAAAATTGGAACGCGATGAGCCCCGTTCTAATACTTAATATAATGCCAATCTAAACAAATTCATTAAGATAGTTTTTTCAGCTAAAACATCAAAAATTGTTTTTAGTTTGGTTGTGAAAGCATCAGATGGGCCAGATTAAATTAGCCAACAGGCCGAATTTTGCCCGCGGGCCGTAGTTTGCCAATGTCAGAGTTAGCGGATGACAACCACTGACGTGTTATTTTTATAACGTGGATGTCTGTAATTTGCGTTTATTGCAAGACCTGAAACAATTCTAAACTGCCAGGTCACAAATAGGTGGAAGAAAATCACACAAAGCGGATGCATTATAAACTAATTCTTTGACAAATATTAACATAATGTAAGGATGCAGACAAACGATCAAAAACGTACAACGGCCAATAATATCCACGTGGGGAATGAACAACATTAAATTTAAATACCTTCAAATAGAAAACGAGAAATCGGTCAGAGACCGAAGACTTTTCGATCGAAAGTTAGGGGATCCCCCAAAACAGCGCTCTTACTCCATAGTGACACCTTGTGTCCCATCACTAATTAATTAATAACACGCTAATTATACGACATAATTCATCCAAAATCAATAGGCTTCTGGTCCCACATATGATGAATGCACATGCAAAATCTGGAGCAGATTCGATCTCGCTTTCGTGAGATATCGCGTGCATCTAACAGACAGACAGACAGACAGACAGACAAATACCTATCAACATACTTACCGATTAAATTCGATAAGTAATTAGGACCAAAATCTATCGTCATGAGTCAATAAAAAGGTAAAAATAATGAAAACGCTGAGATTTTAATTTTTGATTCTTGATCTAGTTTGCAACACTTTAAGTAGCACGAAACATTAAGCAAT